TAATTGTGGCAACTGGACCAAAGTTTATTAAAACAGAGACATTTCATTACTCATCCAAGTGACGTCTTCAGTCCAAATGAAGATTTGGGTAGGCAGAGAGTCATTGGAAAGAACCAGCTCTTGCCATACTGACTGCAGGGGCTTTCTCCCCAAAATGAACCAGCAACGTGTAAATGAAGATTCAATCATCCAGGCCAAAAATAGAAGGTGAAATCATGCCCTTCACAATCACTTCATCTGTTTTTCTCACTTTTCTTTGATCACTTCTGTCCACATCTGGACTTTCTTAGGGCAAAAATCTACTTAGACAGATGTCATTGCATTCATGGATACCTTGCTCATGTAAACAAAACAAATATAGTCACAATCTCTCTAGGAGCTAGAAGCAAGTTGCTTTATTCTATCAAGTCAGACAAAGCCACCCTCAGGTCGTCTGTTGCAGCCAAGACAAATTTGAGGGTATCTAAGAACATCTTCGAACCTTCTGCCACCTGTTTCTTGAAAAAGGATCGAGACATCAAGTGTGAAAGATCAACAATGGGTTTCGTACCATGTGGAAAAGGACTACAGCAATTAGATAGCCTTTTGTAGACGGCCGCTAATTAGGATTACATGCGAGCCAAAAGATTAATTCCTTCCACAAACACCAGAAAATGGCAAATCCTTTCCTATCAGGAAACTGGAAATGCCAAATTTGCGGAGAGGCAGATGAAACATCTTGTTCTTACCAGCTGTCTGGTTCGGGTTTTGTTTGAGTCTAAATAGATGCACTCCACCCTACAAATCAATTTGCCACCCTCTTAATTAAAAGACTCAAACACCATGAATGTCAAGGCGCTTTGTTGTCTTCTTGCAATAAAAGCAAAGGCAATGTTACCCCTTTCCTGCCCATCCACTCCTGGGGGGTTTACTCACCTGGCTCCAAAGAGAGACAGGTCAGCCAAGGGACAGAGGAGGTGAATCAGCTTTCAGAGGGAAGACAGGAAGAAAAACTTGTTCACCATATACATCGTAAGACCATAGCTCCCAGTCAAGGCTGACTTGATTTTTCTCTCTCTCTCTCTTCCGAGAAGGGCTTTGGCAATAGATGGTTCTGGAAAACCATCTATTGACAAAATCAACCATCCACAAAGAAGAGGGAGTCAAGCTATTCTCCAAAGCACCCAAAAGGCAGGACAAGAAGCAACGGATGGAAAATAATCAAGGAGAGAAACAACTTAGAACTAAGGAGAGATTTCCTGACAGTGAGAACAATTAATCAGTGGAACAGTTTGCCTCCAGAAGTTGTGGATGCTCCATCACTGGAAGTTTTTAAGAAGAGGTTGGACAAAATTTGTCTGAAATGGTGTAGGGTTTCCTGCCTGAACAAGGGGTTGGACTAGAAGACCTCCAAAGTCCCTTCCAACTCTGTTATTCTGTTACAACTTTCTCAGTTCTCTAGGTGGTGGGCACGCAATTCTCCAAACTTTTAAAAAGTCTTTCGATATTTTGCAAAGGAAATGAGGATATGTCTATAGCAGTCTCAGATTTGCCACACAACACCCCCTCTTTGCTATGGAAAAGAATCAAAGTGGGGCAGATGAGAGAAAAGTTTAAATTTCTGAATTCCCAAAAAGCATTTAATTCTTGGTTATCAAATTAATATAAGTTTGTGCAATATACTGAGTTATCATTTGACCAAACATCCCCGATTTGTGCATAATCTGTAAGCCATGGTTTTAATGCAGTTTGAAACTGGTTAAGCCTGCTGTGGGCCTATTCCCATAACAGACTGAGTTCAGTCAGCCTGCTAGCAAATCTAAGCTCTTTATTTGTGGTTTTGGCAGCACACAATCGCTTTTAGAGTCAAGAACCAATCATTTCGGAGAGTCCTCATTCAGGTGCCTGGATGCTTGCACCAGGAATGTCATGGTAAAGCTTTGGGGTGTCTTTGGACCTTCTCATTGTCCAGGCAAAGGCAGAGAGCATGGCTTCTCTGCTGCACTTCACCGGGATTTGAGAGATTTGTATTCTTGGTGGCCATCTCGGTCCCACTTTCTCTAAGGTGGCTTTGGGGGTGCTTGTTCTGTCCAGATTTTTTTTTCTTGGAAAACTGGGAAATGTAGGTGATCCCACAATACAAATGATTGGGTGGAGTTGACTTGATTCTGGCCATGCCTGAGCCATGTGCTCTTGAAAGTAACAACCCAAGGTAGAACAGCCTGGATCCAACAAACCATATTTTGTGTCCATGCTACTCAGAAGTGCTCTAACCCACCAAGACCATTAAGTATAATGGAGGAACTGTCAGTACAAAGAGGTCCTAAAGGTTGAAGACCATCTAAGGGAGAGAGCCATCTGAGGAAGGTCAACCGTAGCTTTGATTTTACATAATACAAGAAGAGGAACCTGGAAAATGGAGAAGGTTGCACAAGAACCTTCAAGTTTGTTCTTCCCAAGAGCACCTGAGATGGCCATGGTTAGACTCCACTGTTACTCACCGCTCAGATTTACAAATAAAATCTCAGGAAAACCCATTTCCATGCCATTTTATTAGTTGGCTTGTACAGTTTCTGTAGCATCTTACAAAAATACTGTGAATTTGGTAAAGGATAGCAATAACAGCATCGGCCACAGATGGATTTGACCATTCTTGCTAATGACTTGACAATGTTATTTTTTCCTAGAGGGAGAAAAGGTTGAAAAGATTTCAGCAGTAAGTGGTTTTCCCATCACCCCAACCAGGGCTAACGGACCACATGGAATTTTTTGATCCAACTGTCAGCCACCATTTTGTAGAGAAAAGATAAGACATCTAAGGAGACCTGGCTATCACACAAGCATTCAAGGTAGAAATATGAGGAAGATCTACATGGATCTTTATTTGGTTTCCTTAAGAAATTGTCAACAATTTGGAAAGTCAAAGAAGGATGTCAATACTTCTTAAAATTTAACAGAAGATCTGAGAGAGGAAAAAACCAAAATAAAACTCCTTCAACCTGCAACTGTGTTGTTTAGATTTTTCTGCCCTAAAGAAAATGAGTCTCAATTTTTTTTCCTAAAAAACTTCTTGAAAACACCAAGGCCCAGATGTTCTGCTTTAAGGGAAATATAATCTTGACAGAAGTGAAGTCAGCACGCCAAACAAAAATCATGTCTGAGGCAGCTTCATCAAAATAACCTTTCCAATGGCTTCTTCTCCTGCGTGGGTTGACTTGCAAAGTTGCACTACATTGGGAACAAAGCAAGTGGAATCCTGAAAAGTGTCAGTGTGTCACCTGTCTCAACAGGTGTGCCCACCAAGCAGTGCAGATGATGCCAGCTAGATCTTTTCTGATCATCCAAGAGATGTAGGGTACATTATATCACTGGGGGCCAGGTCTCTCCATCTGTGTCACCCCTTCTAATCTTCCTTCTGACAGATTCCCTAGGACAGAAATAAAATCTAAGATAGTCTAGACCAGAAGTCGGCAACCCGCGGCTCTGGAGCCGCATGTGGCTCTTTCATTCCTCTGCTCCCTGTCACTGGTCAGCTCCACAATTGATAGGGTTTTCAGTTAGGACAAGTAGAGGAAAAAGGTCACCACAGACTCTATGGTGGGGGAACTGGACTTCTGATCAGCTCCAGAATTGAACAGGGGGCTTCTGCTTAGGACCTTTGTGGCTCTCTGAGTGTTTAAGATTGCCAACTCCTGGTCTAGAACAAAGAAAACCATATCTGGTTCATTAAAAAAAAAACCCAGAAAATTCTCTTTATTGTCATCTAGTTGGTTTTCACAACCCAGATATAAGCCTAACCCAGGAGAGAAAGGAAAGCTCATCCTTTGCTTTCCTTTTAATCACAGTTGATTCAAAAGGTGGCTTGTTGTCTAATTGATCTTCCTGGCACTTAAATTGCCAAGATCTCCTTCTCTTACTGGGAATAATTTCCTTGGAATTTCAGGCAGAGAATTTTCTTCTCCATCTTTTTAACCGATTCTTTTAAATCCACAGGGGTTTTAACTTGGGATTAACATGGATCTTCTGCATATATACAAACCACATAGTTTACCTTTGAGCTAACACTTTGGCTTGGTTGAGATTTCTCCAGATGTTAATTCAGTATTAAGTGCCTGACAAGGGCCTTGTAGTCCATATCTTTCCATCCATCCATCCTTCCCTCCCTGTCAGATCTGATTTGTTCTCCACAAAATTCATTCCTGGAATCGAATAAGTTTCTTTCAACCACATATATGCTGGTGTATGTGAGCAGAGATGGCTTTTTAATTACAATGCATTCCATGCAAAATAAGATTGATTGGTTTTTCACTTTCTTTTTTTTTTTTTTTTTGGCTTGGGCTTCTGCTCAGTTCATTCTATTTAATTGTATGTACATTGGCATCATAGAAAAAAAAAACAATTTTGCTTCTCCCCTCCACCCTGAGATTTCATTCTCTCACAACTTTCTCCTCTTCCCCTCTTCTTTTACATGTCTGGTGGCAATGGCGTTGCGACTACTCTAAGCCATGACAGCAGCTGCATGATTTGGCCTCGGCAGTTCGGTGGACTTCACAGTGTCCCTGAAGTCTGAAGGCAACGCCAACAGAGATAATTCCTGGGAAAGCTGTTTCTTCCTCAACGAAGGAGTCTTCCTCCTGGTGCGAAGCAGACAAGAATGGGTGCATCTTTGGTGAGAAATGGACCGTAAGAGCAAGGCGTGAGCAAGTCATGGTCTCCCCTTCTTGGGCTCAGCTAAAATTGGTGATGAACCCCATGGAGATCTTCTTCATCCCATGCAACACTTGGTGGTGAGACTTGGCTTGCTGGCTTTCTCCTTTCAGCCGAACCCAAAGGTTGCATTTGAAGCAAACGGCCCCACCCGAGTCTCCCCGAGTTTCAATGCTTCTTTGAGTGCAAGGCAACCTTGGACCTGTGGTACCCCAGTTGTAAAAATATATTGGCATGGCACTCTCAAACTGGGTGCTCCAACACACGGCCTTAATCCGGCCGGGGGATTCAGACGACTGATCCTCAGGCAGAGATTAGCAATGAAGAATCTTCATAAAAGCTTTCCGGAACTCAATGTTGAAGGTGGTGTAAATGATAGGATTGACTGCGCTGTTCACGTATCCAAGCCACGTGAAGGCATTGTACATGACCTGTGGGATTTCACAGTTGCAGTGCATGTTCATAATGTGGGTGATGAAGAAAGGGAGCCAACAGATGATGAAAACACCTGCAGGAGGACCAAGAAAAGAGGCCGTGTTAGCAGTGCAACCGGTCAGGTCTGCCATCGTAATCACTTGAGCCTTCCTTTGCTTCACTGGGTTCCTTACATAAACGCAGGGAGGGGGTTGACAGGAACCAGAGGTGCCAATCTGGAACAGACTGGCAAATCCAAGGACATGAGCAGGAGACTGGAATGCAAAAGTCTACCAAAGAGGTGCCAAACCTTAAGACTGTTACCAAAACACCTACTCTGAATATAATTGGACACTAACGAATTGGTCAATGTGGGGAGGATCTGGGAGAAGAGGAAAAAGCAGGGTTTATGCAGGAATAGCCAGATCCAGCTTTTCTTATGCTATAACCACTTGGCTTTAGTAAAAGTATGCCTTTTGCTACAAGTGGAATCGAGGGTCTTACTTTTTTAAAGGTCCAAGCTGGGACAAGCCTGACACAACTGTTGAATGCATCTCCCTGCCTACCTCCTACTTGGAGACATCATAGCTACAACAGGCAACAATAGCCAGTGATTTGGGATTGGAAACTGGCACATTTGTTTGAACAAATATTCCACGTAACAACTAGTGATGAAGTTCTTCGTTTATGTTATGGAGTGGGAAACACTTCCTCCTCCCCGTCTCAGATTTCTAATTTGCCAATCTATAAATCCAGTGAAACGCTGAAGCTGTAGCTTCCACAAGGGAGGTTGGATCAAACTCTTACCAAGCACAATGGCAAGCATTTGAGTGGCCTTCTTCTCCTTCTGTTGTGAAAATTTCCTCCTGCTCATAGTTTTGAGGGAAGTCCTGGTTTTGCCATTGGGCATCGTCTGAATCTCAAAGACCTTGGCCGTTTTGGAATTGTCTATGGTATGCCCATTCTTCTGCATGTCAAGGGGGCTGTTTTCAGGGGATGGTGGAGTTAAATTGGCACAGGGGATGGGAGCAGCTGGCTCAGCTGGTTCCATGTCACTTGGCAGAGGTGGCTGAACATTGTTCTTTGGTGGGCTGGTACTGGTGGCCATCTCCATCTCCTCCATGTGATCCATGGCCTCCTGCATAGTGATCAGAAACATTGGGCTGTATAATCAAACACCAAACGACATTAAATAAATACTGAGACAAGGAAAAGAAAAACATGAACAAGAAAATCTTCTTCAATGAAGCCAATGAATGCAAATTTCTTTTACCAAGGTGCAAAGTAGAACATGACTAATAGAAAGGAATAATGGTGGAAATGTAGCAGCAAAACAGTGCCAATTCAATGGACCTGTTGAGAGCACGCTAGTCACAAGGGTGACTCCTGTTCAAAAATAAATAAAGCAGGGTCAAACCCTGTTGGAAGTTGTCCTCAATGACATCAGTGAGGGTCTGTGACTTCTGGAATTAAAAATATTAACAGCAGAAATGGAAAACTTTTGAACAACCTGGAACCAACATCTCTGGTTTTTCCTCCCGGTGTTTTGGGGGACCCAAATAGAAAAACTTTTAAAGAAGTCGGTTTCCTCTGCGCTCAGGCAGAAAAGGAGATTGAAGGCAACACAATAGTCTGAGGGTAGTTTGGAGTAATCTCCATGGGGTCATTCTATGGGGTCTCTGTAAGAATGAAAGAAAGCCATCAAAGGACACAGCAGGGAGAAAGATTAAAGTATCTTCTTTTCTCTATTAGGCTCCAGAAAGGCAAACATATTTTGGGGAACACGAGGGAAATCACCCGTGATTGTTGTGGGAAGGAACTGAGGTTTGTCATGGGTAGAGCACAAAGTCCTCCTAGACGTTGAAGGCTTGTTACAGTTTTGTATACAAATGGATATGCCACCAGCTCCTATTTTGTGGTTGGAGCATATCCATTCAAAGCCAACATTTTATGCAGCATCTGCGTAGACTTGGGGTGCTTGGCATGGACACTCACCACTTTGCCCTTATGAGCAGGAAAGCTCCCGTTGCTCTTCACAACGAGCGTGCAGAGCCTGACATCTCCTGGATGAGTGCATTTCTCCTGAAGAAGAAGAGGAAAGAGAAAGAGAGAGGAAGAAAGAAGAGAGGGATGGTTGGCATAAGACAGCAATTATCCAGAGTAGAACCAAGGACGAAGATCTGGAGATCAGGAAAGAAGGCAATGAACAGGGAAGAATTCTCCCCACAAGGAGAAACAACGCTACAGATAAGACAATTAATCAGTCTGGCAAAGTACCCTACTTAATTCTGAAGCCAACATTTCCATGCATGGCTGCTGCCTGTTCTGTGCCCTGGAGAAACATCTCCTTGCAGCCACCTTCACACGAAACACCGTTGATTGGGGAGGAGACCCAAAGAGTGAGAAACCCTTAGGGTGGAAACCGTAACTGGAGGAGTGGGGCCGAGAAGATGGATATTGGAAAGAGACAGCTGGGGTTACCTTCAATGGAGCCTGCGTGTCGGCGTCCAGGCCCACATGGCTGGCGATGCGTTTGGTGTTGACCCGTTTTCTGCGTTTCCGCAACACTATATAGATCTGCACGTACACCAGCAGGGTGACAATGAAAGGAACGTAGAAGGAGACGATAGAAGAATACACAACAAAGGCAGGGTTGGCAATGATACACTCATTCTTCTCTGGAAGACACAAGAGAGGGCAGGAATGTTGCCCCAGCCATTAGGAGCTACAGTCAGCCTGGGTGTCCAGTGAGCTGTGGGTGCAAGTAGGGCAACAGAAGTTCCTTTGGAAATGGAATCCCATTTCTTCACCCTTTGTTCTGAGGAATGGATGAGATGTTTCCATTTGAGGGAAAGAACTGTGGAACAGCTACAGCTTTTACTCAGATTTAAATAAAGAGCAATGGTGAATTGGAGGAGGGGGCAAAAGCTTCCCCTACTCACAAATAAGGCTTTTTAAGGGGTGGCAAAATACCCCCAAGTTTTGAGCCCATCCCCTGCTGTCAGATGCAAGCCACCAGGGCCACAACAGAACTAAAACCAGCAACTTTATTCTCTACTACCTATATTACAAGAACCCCACCCGGCTGCTTGCTTTCCCCTGGGAACCTCCAGATAAGGCTTCATGCATCTGGGGGAGTATCAAGCCTATGCCACTCGCAGCTATGCAAGGACTCCAAACTAGATCCTCGTTTGACTCCTCCTTCCAGCCAGGCTGGCAGTTTCCCAACACTTTCATGGCTGGACAAGTGAAAGTGCCCCTTCCCCACTCCCACCCCATCATTTACACTGATATCAATCAAACGTAAACCTAGAATAAGAATATCTTCAACTAGAACAAGCTGCGTTTTCAACTTGAGAGGGTTAGAGCGAGTGGTGGCAAAAGGGGCCTGGCGGGGGACACCAGGGAGTTTGCCAATTACAACCCGGTGTGACCAAAAGACTCAGAAGAACTATTGACCACCTTTGCAACGAGTCTTGATTTTTCCTGGCTCTGGGGATTTCCTCTCTGCACATTTCTTTTCTATGGCATTTCTTCTCTCAGTTCAGTGAGAAAAGCATGCAATATTCAGGGCAGAGACCGGAACCCCTAAAGGGAACTTGAATTCAACCCCAAGAGAGTATCTTGCCCTCTTGCATACCTGTGTTGTTCAGCCCAAACATCAGAGGGCAGGAGATGGCGAAGGAGAGGATCCACACCACAGCAATCATCCCAGTGACTCTGCGCTTGGAGCTGTAGCGGGTGTTGTACAGCATGGGCATGGCCACCGCAGTGTACCTGTGGGAAAGGACACGACAACAACAGGGGGGACATGGGGAGCACATCCCGCCTCTCGAAAGCAGCCAAGAGAGGAGACCTTTTCTCCCGAGATGTGGGTCCAGAGTTGGCAAGGATGAGGAGAGGGGAAAAAAAGAGTGAGGGAAGCTGGAGGCCTGGCCTGGCAAACCCAGAGGGCATGTCTCACCTGTCAATGCTGATGGCGCAGAGATTGAGAATGCTGGCTGTGCACATCATCACATCCAGGGTGACAAAGAT